CCAGCGGGGGCCCCCTGGGGGCCCCCAGGGGGCCCCCTGGGGGCCGCTGGGGGGTCTCCTGGGGTCCCCCATTGGGCCCCCTGGAGGCCCCCATTGGCTCCCAGAGAGGCCCCCAAGAGCACTCCGTGCCCTTGAGGCCGTAGAACAGGGCAGCTGGGGGCCCCTGGGGGCCCGCCTAGGGACCCCTGGGGGCCCCCCAAGGGACCCCTGGGAGCCCCCTGGAGGCCTTTGGGGGCTCCCCTAGGGGCCACTCGGGGCCCCCTGGAGGCCCGTGGGGGCCCCCAGGGGCCCCTGGGGGCCCCCTGGAAGCCCCCGGGCTTCTTGTACACCTACGGCTCGCAGCCAGTGCGAGGGCAGGAGGAACTGTTGGCTGCGGGGGCACCAAGGGGACCCCTTTGCATGCAGTTGGGGGCCTCCCGCCCGGCAGACTACGTTTAAAGGCCGCAAGGGGAGCTCCCTGGGGGCCCCTGGAGGGGCTCCTCCAGGGACCCCCAGGGAGCTCCTCCAGGGGCCCCTTGAGGGGCCCCAGAAGGCCCCTTGAGGGGCTCCTCAAGGGAACCCTCAAGGGGTCCTCAGAGGGCCCCTCAAGGAGCTCCTGGAGCGGCCCCCAGGGGGCCCCTGGGAGGCCCCTTGGGGGCCCCTAGGGGACCCTTGGGGGCCCTTGGGGGACCCCTTGGGGGCCCCTGGAGGGGCCCCCGGAGGAGTCCGTGGGGGCATGCGGGGCTGGTGGTGCCCTCTCGGATGTATAGACAGCTGGAGGCTGAATGCGCTGACAGACATATTTGTGTCTCCATAAGATCAAAGTGCATGCAAAGTGGCCTTCGCCCGGGCTGCTGCTGCTGCTGCTGCTGCTGCGGCCGGCAGCAGCAGCAGCAGCTTTAACTGCACATTTATCGCTTTTGCGCCTAAGCCTCAACACCCGAAAAGCTCCACAGCGCAGGGAGCGCAGCAGGAGAAAAAGAAACAAATTAATTAAATCAATTAAATCAATTAAACTAAATAAATTAAATAAATTAAATAAATCAGATTTATTCTTGGGTTCCTTTTGTAAAAGTCGGGAAGCGTCTTGGGACGCAAAGTAGAACAGACAAACGATAGACACCGCGGGCCGCGCAGCAGCAGCAGCAGCAGCAGCAGCAGCGTCAGCAGGGACAGAGGTAGACGGAAAAGAGCTAGGCAGCATCAGCGGGAACTAGCGAAGCAGCAAAACAAACTGAGGTAGCAACAAACAAACGGAGGTCTTCAGCAACAAAAAGGAAATGCAAAAAACAGAAAAAGAAACGGGAGCAGCAGCAGCAGCAGCTGCTGCTGCTGCTGTTGCTGCTGCGGTGTATGTACAGACACCCCAAGCCCCACACCACTATGCTGCTGCCATTTATCCCTCTTCAAACATTTCTTTTCCATTTGTGTCTCTTGGGAGCAGCGCCGCGAGGCCCGACACAATTTGCTGCTGCAGCTGGGCCCCTTGGTTTGCTGCTGCAGCTAGGCCTCCTTGAGTTGCTGCTGCAGCAAAGCCAACTCGACTTGCTGCTCGACTTGCTGCTGTATCTAGGCCTTCTTGATTTGCTGCTGCAGCTAGTAGCGCTAGATTTGCTGCTGCAGCTAGGCCCGCTAGATTTGCTGCTGCAGTTAGGCCTCCTTGATTTGCTGCTGCAGCTAGGCCTCCTTGACTTGCTGCTGCAGCTAGTAGCGCTAGATTTGCTGCTGCAGCAAGGCCTGCTAGATTTGCTGCTACAGCTAGGCCTGCTCGGTTTGCTGCTGCAGCTAGGCCTGCTCGATTCGCTGCTGCAGCTCCTCCGGCAGCCACAGCGAAAGTTCTGCTGCTGCTGCTCTCAGCTGCTGCTCCCCTTGCTGCAGGGCCTCTAGAGTCTTGCCCAGGGCCTCTCGCCCTCGGCCTCTAGGGCCGGGGCTGAGCAGTGCAGGGGGGCCCCCCAGGGGGCCCCCCTGGGGGCCCCCCTGGGAGCCTCCTTGGGGGCTTCCCGGGGGCCCCCGTCGGGGTGTCCCCGAGGGGTTTCCCTGAGACTGCTGCAGCTCCGAGCTTCTGCAGGCGCTGCTCGTGCTGCTGCCGGGGGCCCCTCCCTGGGGCCCCCCCTGGGAGGCCCCCTGGGGCCCGCCGCCGGGGGTGCCCCCCTGGGGCCCCCCCTGAAAGGACCCCTGGGGTCCCCCGCCGGGGAGGCCCCCCTGGGGGCCCCCCTGGGGGCCCCCCGCAGGGGGCCCCTGGGGGGGCCCCTCGGCCGCGGGTGGTGCTGCTGCGTCGAGGGCCCGCAGCAAAGCGTGCAGCTGGGTACTGAGGCCTTTAGCAGCAACACAAAACTCTGCAACTTGGGGGCCCCTCTCAGCTTCGAGGGGCCCCAAAGCAATGCGGCGCCACACGAGGCCCCTCTCTTTTGCTGCTTTCATTTGTTCTTCAAGTCTGGCCAGCTGCAGCAGCAGCGTTTCTCTCCTCACTTTGAAGGCCAGGCGCTCCGCGGCGTGCTGCTGCTGCTGCCGCTCCTCGTCCTGCTGCTGCTGCGGCTGCTGCG